AAGGGTAGAGCAACCACTCAGGGAGGCTCAGGGCTCTGCCAGGAGGGTGAGAAATTGAGGGAGTGGGGAGGAAGAACAGGAGGCCCAGCCAGGACCAGGAACTGCCATATAGGGAACAGGGAGCCTGAGACCGAGAAGGGCTTTCTGCCTAATGGGCTCCACATAGCTCTGGAGCTCCAGGCACTGCTCTGCTGTAACCATGACCTTTGGGAATACCTGACAAGGTTGCCCTGGATATTAAGGGCACAGGTCAGGGAAAGCTAAGAAAATGCTCCCCAAAGAGTATCAATGAAAATCAGCTTGTGGCCACAGCAAAAAATGAGAATAGTGTATTACACAGCCAGTCAGAAAATCCCATTCGGCTAGTTGTTTCTGGTGAGGTGGCCTGTGGGGGTAGGGATAGATGGAGGCTTCTAAGCTAGTGCGGTATTTACAGAGTTATATGTTCCATCTAGGACCTGTGGTGAGGGCACTAGAGTGACAATGTTGGCTCAGGCACAGGTAAGCTGCCTGATCCTGCCTCCAGGACAGCTCAAGTGAGAAGAGGCCTGACCCAAGGCCCCTACCCTCAGGTCCACCTGCTGTTTCTTTTATCCCATCTCAGAAGACACCTTGGATTTTTCTCCCCCTCCTTATCCCTCACTATTTCTAGTAACGAAGTCCTGAATGCCCACCCAGTCACACCTCCTGCCCTGGGGCCATCCATCACATAGTTGGCTCACTCTGCTCTGAGCCTCCTGTTCCACCATCTTCATGGCCCTAGTCTGGACTCCACAAATCTGCCCATACTGTTGCCAGAGATCAGTCTACAAACAGGCCTCATGACATGATCCACAGACTATAGAGTATTGGGCATGGCCCTTGGGTGTATACATAAATGGATACCTGCCTGTTTAGATCCATTGGATCCAAATGGATCTCTGAAACTGTAAGTTTCTTCAGAGTAGGAACTGTATCTGCCCTGCTCATATTGTGCCCTATGCTTGTAATTTAGTGCTAGCACACTGTCAGTACTCTGAGTATGTACTAGGTGAGTGAGTGAGTGATTTACTTCATCCTAACAATTCCCCACAGCACTCTGAGTCAGTTACACCACCAACTTGAAGCCCTCAATGCCTGTACCTGCTGTCCACTGCCTGAAAGGAAACTCTCCTTCTGCATTCTTACAGGCTCGGCTCAACTCATCGTCCACAATACCTTCTCTGGCCCTCCTTCTCATGCTTCATCCCTCTCTACCAATAGCCCTTTTGTCTACCATAGCTCTCCTTTCATCATTATCCTTTTGTCTTTTTTTAGCTTCTAGATGTAAGAGCCATAACATTTTTGTTTCTACCTTATGACCCTACTGTTTCACAGCAGAAACATACCCATTGCCCACTCATTCTTCCACTCCCTCCATCTTCCATCTTTACTGCAAACATACCATGCATTTCCTCCCAGAGGGCTGTGTTAGGCATTAGAAATACAATGGTGAAAAAAGATGCAGGAAAATAAGCACAAAAGAACAAGTGGAGGGACACAACTGATCAGCTCTGACAGCCCTTAATACCATGAACTATAATGGGAACAGGATGAAACTGAAGAGCTGGAGGAGGTGGGCCACTACTTCTTTGGATGGATATGGTGGCCATGTGGAGGAAGTGGCATTTAGTGCTTTAAACTAAAAGATGTGGCTGCATCCACCAAATACAGACAGGGAGAATGAATGCCTCAGGCAAACATGGAGCAGGTATAAAGGCGCTGGGGCAGAAACAAGCCAGAGTGTTGAAGGGATGAAAAGAAGCCCGTGAGAATCAAGATAGTTGAGGTCTGGATGAGATTGTGAAGAGCCCCTGAATGCATGTGCTTTCACCCTGGTTTACCTTAGCTCTGTCAGGAAGGGGTAGTCAGTAAATTTTTATTCTGTAGAATTATTCAGTAAAAGTAATCACCTGTTCCTTCTCCTCTGCATTAGTCACTGAGGTGCTAAATGATAGATTTTCTGTGTTGTTTTGTAGTACCCAGGTCACTTGGTGTCTGCTTCATGTAACTAAGCTACATATCCAGAGGTTTCCCTAGGCAGAAACACAGAATCAGTGACAAACCTTTCTGCTCTACAAAATGAGGTGTTGATAGCCATGTAGCCATGTAGCCATGTAGCTTCAGGTTCTGGCCAAAGTACTCTCCTCTTTTATATGCACCCTCATCCATTGGTCCTCACAGTTGCTTCCCTTTTGACATGCCATCTCAGAAGAACCTTGGACACATAAAGAATCAGAAAACATACTCAAAGTAATTGAATATACTATAGCTCATGAATCATGTTCTCATAATCCCAAATTTTTCACATTTTTAATGTTACACATATGGATTAAGTTTAATTTCATAGGATAGAAAGTCATTTGATCAATCCATTTCTCTATATGTAAAATGAAGATAACATCTACTTTAAAGAGCTGTTAATGAAGATTTTTCAATGCTGAAATGAGTAAAAGTCTCATAAAAGATTTAACACACAGTGGATACTTAATAATGTACTGATTTTTAATTTCCTCATAGTCAAAACTATGATTTACGTGATCTGAATAAGATCACATTAAAAAAAAACTTTTGAAATTATGGTTTTAATTTCCAAGTGATAGCTATTTTTTTTTCTATAGAATATTATATGAATTAATACAGCTAGTCTAAGATAAGAATTCAAGAATGGTGATCATGTATAAACTGTCTGGTAATAAGATATATTTTTCACAAACTTAATGCAAAACAAGGAAGTCTGTCTTTAAAAGGAGCTGGAAAGAAATAGCTTTTGTTCTTCCTTAGGAATAATGTATATGTACATGTTAAGTTAGGTTATTTGGTTCAGGGTTTTTTTAAATATGTTTTTTGATTGTGCTACTACAGTTGTCCCAGTTCTTTCTCCCCTTTATTCCCCTCTGCCCTATACTCCAACCTCCCACCATCACTCCCCCACCTTAGTTCATGTCCATGTGTCATACATTCAAGTTCTTTGGCTCCTTTATTTCTCATACTGTTCTTAACCTCCCCCTGTCTATTTTGTACCTACAATTTATGCTTCATCTTCCCTGTACCTTTTCCCCCATTTTTCCCCCTCCCCCATCCCTCTGATAACCCTTCATGTGATCTCTATTTCTGTGAATCTGTTCTATTCTGGTTGTTTGCTTAGTTCATTTTGTTTTTGGCTTTTTTTTTTAGGTTCAGTTATTGATAATTGTGACTTTATTGTTATTTTACTGTTCATAGGTTTTTATTTTTTTCTCAGATAAGTCTCTTTAACACACAGGTGGTAAACACAAGGGCTATGGCCAAATCCCCCCCCCCCCCTCACCTTGTGTTATCTGGCATGGAACCTTGTTTCTACCCAGCAGCAATGCCGAGCTCCTTGCCCCTAGTTAAGAACTAGTCGCAACCATGAGGCTGATGTGGCCCATGGTGAAAATGAGTTTGACACCTCTGCTTTAACACTTCATATAAGGGCTTGGTGATGATGAACTCTTTTAACTAGACCTTGTCTAGAAAGCACTTTATCTGCCCTTCTATTCTAAATGAAAGCTTTGTTGGATAGAGTAATCTTGGATACAGGTCCTTGCCTTTCATGATTTTGAATATGTCTTTCCAGCCCCTTCTTGCCTGTAAGGTATCTTTTGCGAAATCAGCTGATAGTCTTATGGGAACTCTTTAGAAGGTAACTGTCTTCTTTTCTCTTGTTGCTTTATCTTTAATCTTGGCTAATGTAATTATGATGTGCCTTGTTGTGTGCTTCTTTGGGATTCTCTGAGCTTCCTGGACTTCCTGGAAGTCTATTTCCTTTGCCAGATTAAGGAAGTTCTCCTTCATTTTGTTTTCAAATAAGTTTTCCATTTCTTGTTCTTCCTCTTCTCCTTCTGGCACCCCTATGATTCAGGTGTTGGAAAGTTTAAAGTTGTCTGAGAGGTTCTTAAAACTCTCCTCATTTTTTTGAATTCTTGTTTCTTCATTCTGTTCTGGTTGAATGTTAATTTCTTCTTTCTGCTCCAAACTGTTGATTTGAGTCCTGGTTTCCTTCCCATCACTGCTGGATCCCTGTACATTTTCCTTTATTTCACTTTTCATAGCCTTCACTTTTTCCTCTATTTTGCAACCATACTCAACCATTTCTCTGAGCATCATGATTACCAGTGTTTTGAACAGTGCATCTGATAGGTTGGCTATCTCCTCATTGCTTAGTTGTATTTTTTCTGGAGCTTTGATTTGTGTCTTTTTTTTTGGCCGGGGGGTGGGGGGAGGTGTCTCAGCGGGCCTGTTATATAGTAAGGGGCAGAGCCGTAGGTATTTGCCAGGGCATGGCAACCCATAACTGCATCATGGCGCTGTGTGTCAGGGAGAGGTCTGATAGGGAACAATGCCACTTGCTCAGCTCTCGGCTGGCTTTCAGTTACTTCCTGCAGAACCCACAAGCAAATTGGGCCCTTCTGGTATAGATTCCCAGGTGGGTGGTTTTGTGTATGTTCTAGGACCCTGTGGGTCTCTCCAGCGAACTGTCCTGTGAGGCTGGGGGTTTCTCCTGCTGCCTTAACCCCTACAGATTTTTTCAGTTGGAGCTTTTGAGGCTTTATTTCCCTGTGTTGGGACCCTGGGTTGCATGGTCTACCTAGCTCCCCAGTTGTTCTTCCCCATTTCTCCACACACAAATGTGCGGCTGCCCGGTCTGCCAGCTGCTGCCTCTTCCAGTCCATCTCACCCACCCTGGCCCTCCAGCCGCTGTCCTGCTGCAAGTCCTCTCCACCGGGCTGCCTATCTACACCCCTCCTACCAGTCTCGATGAATGTTTCTTCTTTAACTCCTTGGTTGTCCGACTTCCATACAGTTAGATTTTCTGGCAGTTCTGGTTATTTTTTGTTTTTAAATTTGTTGTTGTCCTTCTTTCGGTTGTACAAGGAGGGAAAGTGTATCTGCCTTCACCTCCATCTTGTCCAGAAGTCTGTACTACTTTCTAGTTAGGGTTTTGTTTTCTTTCATAGTTTCCTAACAAAATCGTGGCTCAGGCAGCTTGCGATGTTCTTCAGTTGCTGGTTTCCTACTGGGAAAAGCTTCAGATGTTTGAAACCTCTCTGCCTCTGAAAATTGCAGAAGTAAGTCTGTTTACTGCAGTGCTAAAGTATAAGCCTTTTATTTTTTATTTGATATTTATTAGTTATAGATACTCAAATAATTGTTAGAGAACTGACAGTTAAATTGCCATATGAGTCATTCATTTTGAAGTTGAATTGCCCTGGTTCTCAGCTGTGATTTCAGGCCCTACGTAATGAAGCTACCAGTTCCAGGGCAGGGTCTTCCACTTGGACAGTTTTAAAGGCAGACTAGACAACAACAAAGAGACCTTTTGTAGATTGAACTTTATTCATCCAGAGTAATTTGGATGGTGCCAACAAGGAGTAAGCAGCTGGTTATGAGGCCCTCAGTGTGTTTGGGGGGATGCATTGGGGAGAAAGTGGTGACTGTTGTATAGAACAGGAGTCTTTCCCATACTGATGTTCTGGACCATGCTTTGCTTTAGCATGATTACCCAGTGATAATGAGATTACTGCTATAATACCCTCTGTGAGGGTAATTGGTGGAGGAGAGGGACAGAAAGAAAAATCATCTCAGTGATACTGTCCTTAAGGTTGATTACATTTGTAGTTGCTTGGTTGTGCAGGAGCAGGTACCCTCACCTCTCTAGGGGCCTGATATTAAAGCACACCTGTTTCTGCCATTTTCTATAGCTGTACTTATACAGTGGTAACTCTTCAAGGAAATTTGGTTTGTCTCTCATGTGGTATTCCAGGGAGAGAGAACAATAGTGATTTATTTTCTCAGCTCTAAACAGATTTCAACATTGAGATCACTTTATTCTCTCTACTACGTCAAAAATCACAAGTGATGTTTCCCCTTAAGTGACTTAGAGTGAAATAGAACTTTGGACATAGGAGTGTAAGGTACTGCAAAATGTGAAGCTGGGTTATAAGGCAACCATATAAAATCATCTAAACAGAATATCTTTGAGTATAAAAGGGGTGCTGGGACACTTGGATAACAGGTGAAGACCTGGGGTAATATATAAGAAAACTAAATGGAAGCATTTTCATAGTTATTTTTTCAAAGTATTTTTTGATTTCCTAGTGAACAGTATGGAGATTGAAGGTAGAAATTATATGACTCTAAAGAGAAATAGTTGTCTCTGGGGTCCCCAGTTTTGCCACATATGGAGTGGAAGCCATATGGTAATTTTTACCATGCGGCTTCCAAAATTAATACTATGGTCTATTTGACTGGGGATTTGTCTTTTATGCAGATCCTTGTGGCCACAATTGCTTTTCTTTTACCAAGTGCAGAGTACTCCTCAGTGGAAACAGATAAGAAGGTAAGGGGCACATTGGATAAGTTTTCCCTAGAAGTTATTTCTTAAATATGTAAAGCATAATGATAAATAATATTACATGCAGGGATATCTTCACAGGGGTATCCAACCTGCAGCCAATAGGCTGCTTGTAGCCTATGATGGCTATGAATGTGGCCCAACACAAAATTGTAAATTTACTTAAGACATGAGACTTTTTTTGTGATTATATGTTGCAGTGATTTAATGTGTTGCCCAAGACAACACATTGTGGTCCAGAAATGCCAAAAGGTTGGACATCCCTGCATAATATGCCTCTCTGCTGACATTCCTATGAAAACCTTGTTCACTCATTTATTCCTTTTTCACTTGTGTGTCCATTGAATAGTTGCTATTATGCAGGGACAATTCTGTTGTTTGTTAATTACCTTTAGTGAAGTTTAAAAGACTGCAGTATAAGGTAATGGTCCTGTTTCCTGTTCCAGTTTATTGTATCCTTGTTACTCTGCCTCTTGGACTGGTGCATGGCTTTGCCAGTGAATGCCCTCCTCCACCCAGTGTCTGTGGCAGCCCTCGAGGAACAGCACTCATCCAGAGCCCCTTTGCTGGACTATATCTACAGGGTGAGTCTCCAACTGGGCCTAAAAGACATATAATATGAACTTAAGCATCAGAGAATTACAAAAATATGTTTTATGCATTTACTTATTTATCTGTGCTCTTTTGAAAAGGATTTATAGGGGGATTAAAAGGAATGAATAACTTTGGGAGGGAAAACAGAATGGGTATAAGCGTAGAGATGCAGTGATTACCATGTGAACGATGCATGCATTTTTACATGGCATGTCATCTTTAAACAACTGCAGTTTGATCAGAATCCCCCAGTTTTCATGGAACATGGTTCAAATCTACTTAATTTAAAAAAGAATTGTCGATATTGTAGAAATGTCTACAGCCTTAGTTTGACAAAATCTGTTTTTCAGTGGAAGGAAAAAGCATACTTCTTCTAGTGATCTCTTTGCTTTAAAAGATCTTAGGAGATAAATTAATGAAATATATCACATCAAAATAATTAGCCTTGTTTTTATAGTACTTAAAATATTTGAAGTCACCCCATATTAATGACTAAGTATGCTATTTACTCTGCATCCTTTATACTGTTCTTCTATATGGGCCTTACAGTCTGTCCTGTGAGGGCTTCATTTATTTATTTAGCATTGGGTATCCATTGAATAATTACTATTATGTAGGGACAATTCTATTGTTTATTTTTTTAGTAACAAACTTTTTTTATTTTAATTATTGTCCGAGTACAGTTTTCTGCCTTTTACCCCCATCCCAGGCTACCCCACCTCCCTCCCATTTCCACAACCCTTGTTATTGTCCATGTGTCCTTTATACTAGTAACAAACTTTTAATAATAGTTTTTTTTAAAAAGATGATGAAGTCATTAAGTGATTAATTTATTCTTATTTTAAAATTTACTAAATAAAAAAAATACCACTTGACCTTGGTTGAAATTCTTCTAAAAAGTATTGTGTATTTTTAAATGGATTCTTTACTGGTCACAGATTTTAACAACTATTTTAGGATCAATTATATAAAAAATGTCTCTTAAAATTGCTTTACAAAAGTCACCTCATAGTTAACATGATTCAATTAACACATTTATTGAATAACTTTTTATATATTTTTAAAGGAAACTTTCTATTGTAGTATAAATGCATTTAGAAAATTGCATCAGTCATAAGAGAGAGCTTGATGAATTTTCACAGAGCCATCTGGGAAACCAACTCCAGAAACAGAACATTCCTAGCCTCCCAAGAAGCCCCCACTGCACCTCTTCCTAGTCACTACCCCCACGCACATACTCAGGGATAACTGCTATCCTGTCACAGCATACATAAAATCTGACTGTTTTTGAACTTCATATCAATAGAAGCATACAGTATGTCCTTATGTGCCTAATGTCTTCATACAATGTTTTTTTTTTTTGATGGCTTCATTATATTGTTGGGAATAGTTACAGATTTTTTTGCTCTCACTGCTATTTAGTATTACATGATGAGAGTAAACCACAATTTATGTTCTATTCTACTGTAGGTAGAAATCTGGTTAGTTTAGATTTGGGACCATGAAAAAGAAAGTTCTGTGAACATTCTATTCCAGTATGTTTTTTTAGTATACATATGTATGTATTTCTGCTGGGTTTATACCTAGGAGTAGAGTTGCTGGAGTACGTATATTCTGCTTTAGTGGTGAACACTAAATAATTTTCCAGAATGATTATACTAATTTATACTGTCACCAACAGTGTGTGAGAGTTGCAGCTGCCAACATTTTGCTATGTGATAGGTATGGAGTGGTTCTGCATTGTGGTTTTAATTTGCATTTCATATTTTTATTGCAATTGACTAATAGAAATTAATTTTCTCAATGACAGAAGCTCAATTTTTATATTAATAAGAAAGGCACCATACTTTTTCTGTACTGCTTTTCTGCTAGGAACAGGACATACTTAGGTAAGTATCCTGGCTGAATATAGTTCTTGGTACTTTTCAGCTGAGCACAAAAGTTGCATACCCCTAAATCTTCCTCTAGTCCCCAAGAGTCAACATGAGTAGAAGGAACTAAACAGGAAGCTGTCCAGCCCCAAAACAAGGCCTCCTGCCATGTGGGTAAATCAAGCTACTCATCTAAAAGTGAATTGACAGAAGGAGACTAGACTTTGAGTTGTGAACACATAGTACAATGTACAGATGCTGTGTTATTGAATTGTATACTTGAAACCTATATAATTTTGTAAACCAATATCACCCCAATAAATTCAATAAAAATAATTTTTATTGATTTTAGAGAGAACAAAAAAGGGAGAGAAAGAAACAGCAATTTGTTCTTCCACTTACTTATGCATTCATTGGTTGATTCTTATATGTACACTGACTAGAGATTGAATCCACAACGTTGGTGTATTGGGATGATATTCTAGCCAACTGAGCTACCCGGCCAGGACCAAATAAAAATTTTTTTGAAATAAATAAGTAAAAGTGAATTGACTTGTATAAATATAGTCCAAAAGATATCTCCCCAATTTCTAAGGTTTTACCTTGATTTTCATAAAAATCAGCATTTTTATTTTATGATTTTGAATTTATGATCAAAAGGTAAAGTATTCCATAGTTATTAGCTCATTTATACATTTTGACATGTGCAAGATGATCTTCATTTACGTAGCTTCTAAAGCTTCTAGAGTACAATTTCGTCCAAGATGGAGGCGTAGGTAGATACTCTTTGCTACCCCAAGAAGGGCAACAGCAAATTTAAAAACAAAAAACAAACAGAACTGCCAGAAAGTCAGACTGTATGGAAATCTGACAACCAATAAGTTAAGGAAGAACCATTCACCCAGATTGTAGGAGGGGCAGAGACAGGCAGCCGGGGTGAAGAGAATGTGTGGCAAGGCAATAGATGGGACAGGCAAGGCAGCAGCTGGCAGACCAAGCAGTCCCACATTTCCGTGCAGATAAGCTGGGAAGAACAGCTGGGGAGTGAAACAGACCACACAACCCAGGTTTCCAGCCAGGGAAACTAAAGCCTCAAAACCTCTGGCTATAAAAACTTATTGGAGTTGCTGTGGTGGGAGAAACTCCCAGTCTCACAGGAGAGTTCATTGGAGAGACCCACAGGGCCCTAGAACATGCAGAAACACACTCACCTGGGAATCAGCTTTAGAAAGGCCCAATTCACTTGTGGGTAGTGGAGAAAGTGACAAAGTGAGGCAAGAACTGAGCAAGCAACACTTTTTCCCTCTCTGACTCCTGCCCCCTGTATAGCACCACAGTGGTTGCCACACCCTGACAAATACCTAAAGCTCTGCCCCTTACAACATACCAGGTGCTCCGAGAAAATGAGATATGGCCCAAATGAAAGAACAGATCAAAACTCCAGAAAAAGAACTAAATGACGAGGAGATAGCCCACTGATCAGATGCACAGTTCAAAACACTGGTCATCAGGATGCACATAGAAATGATTATGTAAAGATGCAAAATAGAGAAAAAAGTGAAAGTTATGCAAAGTGCAATAAAGCAAGATATACAGGGGACCAACAGTGAAGGGAAGGAAACCAGGACTCAAATCAATGATTTGGAACAGAAGAAGGAAAGAAACATCCAATCAGAACAGAATGAAGAAACAAAGATTCAAAAAAATGAGGAGAGGCTTAGGAATGAACCTCTGGGACAACTTGAAATGTGCTAACATCCAAATCATAATGGAGCCAGAAGGAAAAGAAGAGCAAGAAATGGAGAACTTATTTTAAAAAATAATGAAGGAAAACTTCCCAGTCTGGCAAAGGAAATAGACTTCCAGACAGTGCAGGAAGCTCAGAGAGTCCCAAAGAAGTTGGACCCAAGGAAGCACACACCAAGGCACATCATAATTAAGTTACCCAAGATTAAAGATAAAGAGAGAATCTTAAAAGCAGCAAGAGAAAACGAGACAGTTACCTTCAAAAGAGTTCCCTTAAGACTATCAGCTGATTTCTCAAAAGAAACCTCGCAGGCAAGAAAGGGCTGCAGAGAAGTATCCAAAATCATGAAAGGCCAGAACCTCTATCCAAGATCACTTTATCCAGCAAAACTATCATTTAGAATGGAAGGGCAGATAAGGTGCTTCCCAGACAAGGTAAAGTTAAAGAAGTTCATCATCACCAAGCCCCTTGCTATGTGAAAAGTTAAAGGGACTTATCTAAGAAAAAGAAGAAGATCTGAACTATGAACGATAAAGTGACAACAAAGTCACAGCTATCAACAACTGAACCTAAAAAAAAAGAAATCACAAAAATAAACTAAGCAAACAACTAGAACAGGAACAGAATCAAAGAAATAGAAATCACATGGAGGGTTATCAACAGGAATGGGGCAGGGGAAGGATAGAGAAAAAGGTACAGGGAATAAAAAGTACAAAGATGGTAGGCACAAAATAGACAGGGGAAGGTTAAGAACAATATGGGAAATGGAGAAGCCAAACTTGTATACAAGATCCATGGACATGAACTAAGTGGAGGGAAGTTTTGGAAAAGGGATGCCAGGAAAAGGGAGATACATGGGAGGGAAAGAATGGAACAACTCTAATACCATAATCAATAAAAATACTTAAAAAAAGAGCTTATAGAGTCAACAGCAATTTGTAAACAACTGATAAGCTTTTAGGAAACTGATCTTGTGAGAATAAGAGTACTTAAAAAATTCATATTAAATTTAGTTCATTAATCACCCTTTTAAAATTGTATTAAAGTAGTCTTTCCAATTCTTGGGGTTGTGAGTTATACTAATTTAAGTTCATGAGCATTTGTGAAATGCTGACAGTCTCTGCTTATTGCTTGCAGTCTACCCTTCACTATTAGTGATGGTGGTTTACCTTATGGCTTATGCCATAGCTAGTCTTCGTCTCCAGATTTAGTCCTTTCTAATTACTTCTGTTGTCCTTGGTGGACTAAAGCAGGACCTAGGTATGTACAACCACACAGAATGGTGAAATAAGCACTTTTTACTTTTGGTTTTTTTTTTTTGTTTTCTTGCCTTGAGAGTATATTTATTGGCATTGATGTGAAAGGAATGAATGAACTTGCCAATAGCAAGACTATGCTTTAGAATGGAAAGGATTTGATGTTTTCAAGTACTACCAAGCAGGAGTCCTACCTCCTAAGTGCTGTTGTAGTCTGACAAATTATCAGGTACAGAAGGTTAGCGGCATCCATGGCATACATTCTTTTATTTTTTTCACAGGTTCTACACTGCTGTGTATGTGGTTCAAGCACATACACCCAACAGAGTCACTACACACTGACCCTGGCTGACCTGTCATCCTCAGATTATGACCCCTTCCTACCACTGGCAAACGTGAAGAATTCTGAGCCAGTCCAATATCATTCATCAGCAGAAATGGGCAACCTGTTTACTGTTGAAGAGGGTGAGGTTTTTTTCAGAATATTGATTCTTGTGGGCAGGAAAAGTAAAGGTTCTAGCCTTTTATTCATGCTTGCTGTGAATTTTCTTTAAATCTAGTTTTTGAAATCTTAGTTTCTATAGTCCTCTGTGAAAGTTCTGCCTTCCTTGTTTCTTCTCTTTCCTTTTCTTTTACCACCTTAGTTGAATTTTGTGTTATTGAAGACCCATATATTTCAGACCCATGGAACTCACAAAAACAGTTTACTTTGTATCCCAAAGGAGTTCTACATTTAATAGGAGAGACAGGATTAATACAGAAGGACTCATTTGTGGACTGGTAGCACCATAGGGGCTTCCCATGGAGACGAACCAAAGCCAGACTTAGAAGGATGGACAGACATTGAAAAAAGCTGGTAAAGTGTTCTAGACTAAGGAGCATCATGAAGAGAAAGATGTTAATTTGCATGCCACAGTTTAAGGATAGCTCTTTTCACAGTGCAGGGACCACTTTAGAGTGTGTGGGTATCATCAGGACTTAGGGGCTGCTGTATATCTTCCTCAACCACTCTTTTCCCCAGAATGACAAGACCCCTTCTCTGGAATGTGAGTCAAAATGTGCGTGTGTTATCTATACATACAACTAATAAAATAGCACTGTACCTTCCTACACACACATACACAAATGAGTGTATGTAGAACTACCAAACTCTAAATATTGATGAATTGTCTCAATGTCAGTTTCCTGATTTTGATATGGTACTATAGCTATGTAAGATATTACTATTGAGGTGAAGGATATTTGGGATATCTCTGTATTTTTTTCTCACAAGTGCATATGAATCTTCAATAATCTCAAAATTAAAAGTTTAAAAAAAATGTAGGTGTGGAGGACCAAGAATGGAACCCTGTGGAAAAAGAAGGAGGAAATATCACTAGGAAAGCAAAATGAGGGAAATGGAAAAAAGCATCAAAAGTCATTTCTAGGAAGTCAAAGGAAGAGGGCAGATAAAGAGCCAAGGAAGGTCAGCAGTGGTAGGTGCTTCACAAAGCCCAGGAAGGGTGACAACAGAACAGGAATTGTTTTATTTCCCAACTAAATGCTTGGTGGTAGGTTTTGCTAGTCTCTAACCAGACAGCATACCCTAGGGGATGACCATTCAGAATTTCAAGACAGACTCCTCTTGTGGAGCCTTTGGTGGTGAAAGGAAGGCCACAGCAGGCATTAGCTCGGGAAGGGCATGGAGTCCAGGCCTATGCTTGTAAGACTATAGAGTCTGGCCTGTAGTTCAGGCTGAGAAGAAGGTGCCTGGTCAGGTGCAGATAAAGAGGACAGGAGGTGAGGCACCAGTCAGGAACAAGGGCTCTGGAATCACCCAGTCCTTATGTTAGCTCCATTTTGTAGATGAGCAAACTGAGGTGAAGGGATTTTCCCAAGCATATATATGTGAGAAGTAATGGAGGTGGGATTTGAATTTAAGATTTAATGATCGGGTTCCTGAAACCTCACTTTGATATTTTGCAAGAGTGCACTAAAGACCCATTTTGAATTGTGTTGTTGGTGGATGGTAAGTGGCAGATTTTCATGTTGTCCTCTTTTTGCCCTCCATTTGCTTAATCATGTAGATGTCTTTTCCTGGAATTCACTGTTCATTTAAACTGCAATATTTCTTGCCTTTTTTCCCCACACTTGTAAATTCAAACCATACTTTTTAAAATAAAGTGACCCTTTATCTGTTTCTTTTGTTTTCTTCCTTGAAGTCCATGTCTCATAAGAAAATTAACTCTTTCCTACAGTCATATATTTGTATTCATCCCACATAACTATCACAAAAATGGGTCCACCACTTATGATGACTCGTCGCTTGAAAATAGCAGATTAACAGGTTAGTGAGAAAGGAAGAACCTAAAAATACACCTTTAAATTTTGGTAGCATTTTTCTTTCTGTGTATAATATTCTTTGACTTGAATATATCTGTTCTCCAGCAAACCTCAGGACCTTATGCTGTCTTGTCCTAATAATAGTTCTGTGGTACTAAAAATAATACCTACCACTTCAACTAAATAAAAAAGCAAAGAGGCTTAGAAACATATTGGCACACACAGATGCTCTTCCTGAGTGACTATATCCTGTTCAGAGTAAAGAGGAAAAATAGAGATAACTTAGATATTTTAGTTTAAACAATATGTGCTCATATATGAAGGATTTTTGCTTTCATTTAATGCCATAATTTATTATTCATAACCAGACTATTTCTAGTCAAGTAATGTTTCTGGTAAGCAATATTATATTTTATCTGTTATTTTCAAATGATTTTTTCTTAAACCATTTGATGTAATTATTACTTCCAAAAATTTCCAAGAAACACATTTGACTACCTACTGTAGCTGCTGGCCCCGCTCAAGGAAAAGTCATTAATGGCATGCACATGGGCTCTCATCATTAATACTTAAGTGCTTAAAATGGAGGGGAGGAGTTTTAAAAATAATGTAAGTTAAAGGACAACCTAAAATTACTGATTTTATATTTAATTGCTAAATTTAAACAAATAAATACTTGGAATATATTTTTTCATAGTTTATAGAAGTCATGAGCTTGTTTCTTCTCTAATGGAGTTTAGATTTTCTTTTTATTTCTCAGGGCACCTATGAGCAGTTGATTCAGCTGAAGTCTGCCAGGGAAGAACAATTCTTATTTTATAAATATTACCTTTTCTTACTTTTTAGTACCAAAAATATTTTGGGTTTTTCTTTGGGTGTGTCATGGTTTATGACTTGATTAGTGTGACTATAGGTTAATTTCCTATTGTAGAATTCAAACATTTATTAAAATACAAATTTATATTTATCTCAGATTGAAAATACAACCTATGTAAGTAAAAGTAGGGGAAAGTTGCCTCTGCAGTTGTTATTTTATGCGTTGGGCTTTATCAAGTTGGACCTTTATGATTAGTTTCAAATCTTGTTCTACTATATCACCACATGTTGTCTTACATTATGACACCTGAGCTGGCTGTGCCTTTGTTGGTGGGGCATTAACATTTCTGATGGAGCGTATATTCATATGAAATGATCAGCATGATTAAAAAGCATGTATAACTTTGAAAAAGTTAATGTGGACACAAAACCAAAGGCATTCATAGCTGTGATTTCAAGGGAATTAATTGAAGTATTTTAAATGTTTCAGCTGTTTGGAAGTCATATACAATTCTTCCAGGGACGAGAAGAAGAGTTTAATTTTAAAAACTGATTAGATGACTTCTTTGCTTCTAAAATAGGAATGTTTTTTATGTGAAATTTTTATTTTGCATTACCGAATACAGATAATTTCTTGTTCACACAAAAGAAAAAAAACAATAAATTCAAGAAAAGTCAAGACAGCCTTGTTTTACTCAGTCATCACATAGAATTTCTTAGATTCTAGAATTTAATTGTTTCTTTCTAGGGTTTATACATCATAAAAGTGTTATTTTATAAATAAATCAGTTGGATTTTCAGTGTCTGAGAAGAAGGGTGTTTGACATAAGAAAGTTAAATTTCATGTTGTGGATTTAGATTAAATTAATATTAATTTTGTATTAATAAATTGTGAATTTAGAAAATAAGTATGCCCTAAACCTGTAAGCCCAGATTTTAAATCTTAGTTTATTTAACATCTAGTGATATTTTTGTTAGAATTAAAAGGTTTCACTTTAACTTGTTCTTAGAGTAATGCACAATTTTTTTTTCTATTATTGTGGTGGATTAAATTCTCCCTAACTACTGTCAATCTTAGGTGGGTCATTCAGTCTGTACTTAGGGATTTAGTTTATCTACTTTACCCATATACCTCAAACATTTTACAAAGTCCACTTTTAGATGCTGTTCTCAAATATTTCTGTATATTTAAAGTCTTGAAAATTTTGTAAACCAGTTGCTCTTTGCCATTTAATCATCAACTACAAATTTACTTAAACCATGTATTTACATGAATGAATATATCAGATTCAGTGAAATATTTGAAATACCCTCACAACAAAACATAAATTGTCACAATGATCTTTTTTTCTTTTGAAACTATTTTATTTTTTTAATTATGTTATTGTTCAATTACAGTTGTCTGCATTTCCTGCCCCACTCCCCTCCCCACCCCAGCCAAAACCACCTCCCTCCCTTGCTTCTAACCTGCCCCTTGGTTTTGTCCATCTGTCCTTTACAGTAGTTCCCAAAAACCCTTTCCCCCATTGTTCCCTCCCCCCTCCCCTCTGATTATTGTTAGATTGTGCATTTCAATGTCTCTGCTTATATTTTGTTTGCTTTTTCCTTTTGTTAATTTTGTTCCACTTAAGGTGAGTTCATATGGTATTTGCCCTTCACCACCTGGCTTCTTTCACTTAGCATAATGCCCTCCAGTTCCATCCATGCTCTCACAAAGGGTAGGAGCTCCTTCTTTCTTTCTGCTGTGTAGTATTCCATTGTGTAAATGTACCATAGTTTTTTCATCCACACATTTACTGATAGGCACTTAGGTTGGTTGCTTCCAGCATTTGGCTCTTGTAAATTGTGGAGCTATTAACATTGGGGTGCATAGGTTCTTTCAGATTGGTATTTCAGGGCTCTTAGGATATAGTCCTAGCAGTGGAATTGCTGAGTCAAAAGACAGTTCCATTTTTACTTTACTGAAGAAATTTGATACTGATTTCCACAGTAGTTACCCTAGTCTGCATTCCCAACAGTGCACTAGGGTTCCCTTTACTCCACAACCTTGCCAACACTTGTTGTTTGTTGCTTTGTTTATGATGGCCATTCTCAATGGTGTGAAGTGGTATCTCATTGTGGTTTTAATTTGCATCTCTCTGATGGGTAGTGACACTGAGCATCCTATGTCTCTGGGCTCTCTGTCCTCCTTGGAGAAGTGTCTGCTCAAGTCTTTTGCCCATTTTTTAATTGGGTTTTTTGTCTTGCTGGAGGAGTCGTGTGAGATCTTTATATCTTTTAGAGATCAAACCCTTGTCCGAGGTATCATTGGCAAATATGTTTTCCCA